CTTTACTCTACAAACAGATTTGTATTTTTCCTGTATCCTGTGTAACTGCACTGTTATTACTCAACCCTCTGTAGCTAATATCATAATGTCACCAAATGTTGATATGCACATGCTCTATCCACGGTTATTGTATACTGCATTGTCTACTGCTCAAGTATAAATAAAGAATCAAGAAACAAAAAGACTTCTCCACATAAAGACTCAACTTGAAGAAGAATAATAGATATTATAAAAAAAAAAAAAAAAAAAAAAAATCTGTTTAGTAGATATTCCCCTACTGTTAACATGTATTAATTTAATTATGCATTGTTTCATTGGCGGTGTCAGCGGAGGTTCGTCGATAGGGGCAGCTCCTCATCAGTATTTCTTGCGATAACAAATTTTTTTTTTCAAAATAAAATAAATAAACTTCATAATTCTTTTTTTCGGTTGGGTTTTCATTGTTTTGTGTAAACTTAAACCTTGAATATGTGTCTGTGTGATAAAATGAGTTCTGTCCCTTTAAATATTAGTACTGCAGTACTCCTTGTTTTTCCCCTCTGCGGTTGCTAGGTACAGTAAAAAAAGAAGCCATATCAGATTGTTGGGCAACATCCCAAAAATCTGATTACACTCTATGGGAAGTGTTCTACTTCACCGTCACAGCCACTATTATTTACTAGGCAGGACAAAAATAACCCTTACAAGATAGGCCAGACTACTAGCCTGCCTCCTGGGCTCTGATTGGTGGTTTGCACCAGGGGGTGGCTTTAGAACTCCACTTAGCCTGATGTATTTATATGCCTAAACGTTTATGTCTGCTCCAAGCTCCCCAACTCTTCCCCCCAGGAACCAAGCACAGCTCGAGCTCATTCCCCCGCAGGATCACAGAAAAGCTCCATCTCATTCCCTCCAAGCTCCTTTCCCCCAGGAACCCAGCACAGCTCCAGCTCATTCACTCCAAGCTCCTTCCCCCCCTGAACCCAACACAGCTCCAGCTCATTCCCCACAGGATCCCAGAAAAGCTCCAGCTCATTCCCTCCAAGCTCCTTCCCCCCAGAATCCCAACACAGCCCCAGCTCCTTCCCCCCAGGAACCAAGCACAGCTCGAGCTCATTCCCCGCAGGATCCCAGAAAAGCTCCATCTCGTTCCCTACAAGCTCCTTTCCCCCAGGAACCCAGCACAGCCCCAGCTCCTTCCCCCCCAGAACCAAACACAGCTCCAGCTAATTCCCCGCAGGATCCTAGAAAAGCTCCATCTCGTTCCCTACAAGCTCCTTCCCCCCAGGAACCAAGCACAGCTCCAGCTCACTCCCCAGGATCCCAGAAAAGCTCCAGCTTGTTCCCTCCAAGCTCCTTTCCCCCAGGAACCTAGCACAGGTCCTTCCCTTTCAGCACCTTCTACTCCCAGAACTCTAACACAGCTCCACTGCTCCTTTCACCCCCAGCACAGCTTTAGCTCCTTTCCAGCTCCCTCCACCCCAGGACCCTGGAGTCGGCTGGGGAAAGCAAAGAGAGACATATTGGTGGCAGAAACCTCATGTTACAGCCATGTCTGCTGCCATTACTGGGACTGTGAGCTTGGTCAGCCGGCACTAGGATTCCCCCCTGCTGGCTTGCTCTCTCCCTTTGTAATTCAGGCAGACACAGACATGGTTCTTCAGCTCTCCCCTGCACACTAATGGCAGACACGGACATGGTTCTCCAGCTCTCCCCTGCACACTAATGGCAGACACAGACATGGTTCTCCAGCTCTCCCTCCAGCTCTCCCCTGCACACCAATGGCAGACACAGACATGGTTCTCCAGCTCTCCCCTGCACACTAATGGCAAACACGGACATGATACTTCAGCACTTCCCTGCACACTAATGGCAGACACGGACGTGGTACTTCAGCTCTTCCCTGTACACTAATGGCAGACACGGACATGGTTCTCCAGCTCTCCCCTGCACACTAATAGCAGACACGGACATGGTTCTCCAGCTCTCCCCTGCACACTAATAGCAGACACGGACATGGTTCTCCAGCTCTCCCCTGCACACTAATAGCAGACACGGACATGGTTTTTCAGCTCTCCCCTGCACACCAATGGCAGACACAGACATGGTTCTCCAGCTCTCCCCTGCACACTAATGGCAGACATGGACATGGTTCTCCAGCTCTCCCCTGCACACTAATGTAAGACAGACACCCAATGTTTGATGTGGTGCCTGCCTTACTTCAGAGTTATAGGCCTCCGTTGCAGGCCTGTGCCCAGCACCCCAGCCACATAGTAACCGGCACCACTATAACAGCAGGTACCATTCACCAGGCTGCTCATTTATTTTATTTATTTAATGTGTATCATGAAGAAATAATATTTTATACCTCAAAATCATAAATCATTATTTTTTTCTTTTAGCTAGAGAAATTCCACCATTTCTGCTAGAGAAATTCCACGACTTTCTGTCGCTATTCAATCACAGAATTCCCAATGCAGCTCAGTGAGAAATCTGTGCAAAGCAGGTGCTCTGGGCAATTGCTCCACCGAGCAAACCAAACCAAACCAGGAAACAAAAAGGACCTGTTATCTGCTTGAAAGCCAGGGGGTGTACCCAGGTTAATTATTAGACGTGTTAATTTCTATTGAAATCTGCACTTTATGTAAAATTTTAAAGAGGAAACACTCTTCATACATAAAGCACTTCAGCAAACTGAAGTGTTTCAGGAGTCTTGAGTGTCCCTTTAAAGTAACTGTAGCTAGGGAGACTGCAATTTGTGTGGATCTACACAGAACTATCAGAAGTTTAATGAGAATTGTATTTGCTAGTCAAGCAAGGGCAAACTATTAAGAATTCAAAGTGAATTTCCAATTTCAGGACAAAATTGGTGAATCGGTTTTTAGTTCAGCTACATTTTTAAATTCACTTTGAATTGCAGATAGTGATGTCCCGAACGGTTCACCGCGGACGGCGAGCATATGCACTGTTCGGTCCGCCCCCTATGTCATCATTGAGTAAACTTTGACCCTGTACCTCACAGTCAGCAGACACATTCCAGCCAATCAGCAGCAGACCCTCCCTCCCAGACCCTCTCACCTCCTGGACAGTATCCATTTTACATTCATTGTGAAGCTGCATTCTTAGTGAGCTGTCCAGTAGGTGGGAGTGTCTGGGAGGGAGGGTCTGCTGCTGATTGGCTGGAATGTGTCTGCTGACTGTGAGGTACAGGGTCAAAGTTTACTCAATGATGACATAGGGGGCAGACCGAACAGCGCATATGTTCGCCGTCCGTGGCGAACCGTTCGGCGAACCGTTCGGGACATCACTAATTGCAGACAATACATTATGATCTGTGCCCAAGAGACAGGTTAGAAGCTCGTTATTGGTTTCTTTTCTTTTTTTCATCCATTGTCTGAACAGTTTGCACACCTTAATAAAACATGATTTTAGTGTATACAAAAAAATTTATTTCTGGAAAGTGCATATTGAGAATTTAAGCAAACAAACCAAGGCGTAAATAAAACACAAACAATACACAATGATCAACAAAGTGATAGATTTTGTTTTTGGCACAAATAAATCAGGTTTAGAACATAAGCAGTGACTGGTTCATATAAAACAGATACACATGTGGTCTCCATACTGACCGTTGTTTGGCAGCCAACCAGGAAATGATCTCGCTATAAGGGAAGATTTTCACTGTATCATTAAATATTAATGCGGATCTATTAAGTGCCAAAGGTATTTGTTGTATCTCTCTGGATTAGTAGTGTGTTTTTAAGTGTTGGAGTAAAAGTATCATTGATACAGGAATCAGCTGATTTAAACACCAGGGGCTTAACTTGGCTTGGCATTAGGGTCTTTATTTTAGCACTCAAAAGGGCTTTTTTTGTTCGTTTAAAACATTTTTATTTGTATTCTGAGAACTCAAAGGGTTAAAACTCAGTTGTCTCTTTAAATATTGTGCAAATGAGAGGTTTTTTTTTATTTAATTTTTTATTAAAGCGCTAATAAGTATAAATTCATGGATATAAACAGGTCTCTGCTAAAAATGTAACCAATACTTTTGAGCTTTATATATATATATTTTTTAATATTTTTTTACTCTGGGTAATTTATCTGTGAAACTCTCCCCACTTGTGCACATTACATATAATCCCATGTGTCAAGGCAGTTCTGGTGCTCACCTTTTGAGTACCCAAAGGCTGTACAAAGCCTCGCAACGCAATGTACTGCTCTCCTCAATGGCACTTGCGGGGTTAAAGCTGTTGCTTTGGAAGAATTTGCATCACAAATGTTTAACTCTTCGAAAGGCAGCTGGAGGAGCACTGCATTGCTTTGGACTGCAATGCTTTGTTCACTCCACAAGGGACTCAAACGGTTAATAATATACACATTTATCTTTCATCAGTTCATACTGCATAAGGTATCAAATAAGAAATATCAGGCTTTGTGTTTGCTGGGGTGCATCATAACCAAAAAGGGCCATGCAGTCGTTCCTAAAATTCCAACTGCCAGAGAATAAAAAAATAAATTGATAATACATGCAACGTAATAGCTACAGGATATAATGCCCATCCAAGCATTAACTGAGGGACAGCTACGCTGATATATGCGTATCCCCATGGACTATATTAATTTATCATCCTTAAAGCAGACAGCTGGGCCTCATCTCATGTCTAATAAATAAGCCTGGCAACATTAAAATGTTCCTTTTCCCGCTGAGATAAGACTTTTTCTCTTTTGCTTGTAATTTACCATTGGGATTTTTTATTTTGTCTCTGAATACTAACGTTGTATGGGATAACTGCCCAGTGATCACGAGATCAGTGGTAGCTTCAGGAAGCCTCGACAAGGTTCTACCAAGCTGCATTTTACTGCACGAAACAAAATCCATGCAGATGTGCATTTTGTACAACAGCTATGGGCCACAGCAACACATCTGGAAACAACAATAATGGATGGGATGTCAAATGCATTGGGTATGAGGCACGTAATAACCACAAAAACTGTGAATATTAAGAACGTAAACAAAAAATAAATAAAAAAATGAAAAATGAAACATTTTAAAAAGGTGCTTTCACAGTAACTATAGCATTTTATGTATGAGATTACGATACATAAACAAAGACACAGAGAGATTAAAATTAAAGCCATGGAGTGAGTAATTCAGCTCTTGGTGAGAGAATGGATCACTGTTCTTCATACACACAGAATACCTGAAGACTGAATGTGACTGAGATTCCACAATCCACAGCCACAATGTTCACAGCAATGGTTCTAAATTCCGAGGCAAAACAATTATAAGACAGTGTTTCCAAGGATCTTCAGTTGTGTTTTTCCAATTCCTCATCACATTTTTTTTTTAAATAATATTAGTAATCTTAAAAAACACAACATAAATGTAAGAAAATAAGGTTGTGCAGGAGACGAGGAGATCCACAGTTGTTATGTAATAAAGTCTGTCCGTGTTTGGAATGGCAAGTCTGCAAGGCACAAGTGGAGGCTGCAATATTTTGGGGCCAGACACATTGTCACAAGGTGGCCAGAGGCAAAACCTCGAACTGAACGATGGCACAGCCTGTCCTGCTTTTCCGGAGCCCAGTTCCGGACACACATTCCAAGGCGCCTCAGGATCAGGAAAATGCCAGGAGGAACATCAGTACAACGTTGATAAAGATGAGAAACAGCAAAATGACAAAGACAACCACACGTTGGGTCTCGGGATTCATGTTGCATCGGAGGATAGTATGAAGCGTGCTCAATTTTTGCTTGGCTCGATCCGATCCCTTAGCCATGTCTTGGCCTGAGCAAGCAGGTCTCCGTGAGAAAACGCTGAATGATCTCTTTAGCTGCACAATCTGCACACAATAGAGTTGTCCTGCAGCTGTCAGAAAGAGAAAGCTATCTGCTTTGCATAGTCTTCACCGAGGCACTGCACATGTGCCACGACCATTACCTTTTATTCCTAGGATCAGCAGATAACACCAGAGATTTATATCCCTTAAGAGCTATGCAGCAAGGAATCAGCAATCCATAGATGCTTTATAGCCTTAGCAGGATGATGGAGGCATTTAATTCCCCTTACGAGAAAAGCCTTGCATTCTGTAACAGCAGTAGTTGCTGAGATATTGGCTTTTTCATCAGCCAATCAGGTGTTTGCAGACTGTGGTATCTAGGATACACGCCGTCTTATAAGGACAAAAAGAAAAGGGGGTTTTGTTTGACACATTTACAAAGGCTCACCAATGGTTTGATGTATATTTTTATGTGTCTACATCTATTTAAAGCGTCTAATCATTAAATTCTAAGAATGACAGCAAAAAAATAAATGGATGGTAGACACAGCAGATAGCAGCCGTGGTTTTTGGAGAAACACTGCCAAGGCAGAAAGAATATTTTGCAATATGTAAAGTCAATGTAAATGCAGGTAATCACAGATGCATATTGCAACATTGCAACACACATGCATAATGTAACATATGCAGCATGCATTCAGTGAAAATGCAAACAAGAAAATCTGAATAAAAAAAAATAAAATAAATAAATATATATATATTAACCCAAATCTGTTTATTACACTTCTAACAGAAAATGGATTCAACAAGTTATTCTGTCCAACTACCTCGTGGGAATTGATAAACAGTAACAAAGAAAATGCAATAACATTTTATTTGCCGTTATTAATATATATTTGTCGTTAATAAGGTTTTGCAATCATTCACGCCCCTTAACCCATATGCACATAATTAAATAACATTGAGAAATGCGGATTTCAACGTGAAAGTGTCTTATTTCTTATTTTTTTAATGATCTTTACTCTGTTACACAAGATTTCTTCTTGCACAGGATAACGAGTGAAAGCTGACAAAAGGAGGGCTGCCCCAAAGAAAGGGAAGTCAGAGTCGATATCTGCCATTTTGTACTTTAAATTTGCAGATTCTGGTCCTGTCTTTCTTTCCTGTTTTGCTTTTGTTCCTGTAATGTGATTGGATTCCTCTTGGGGGAGTATGTCCTTGCTAGGATTCTTCTGATTTATTAGTAAATACAAGATAATTCCAGGCACTTAATACTTTTCCATAATCTATACAAGTGGTTCTAACATACTGTTTCTCTAGGTTTCCCTTATTTAGATCCTGGACTTTTTTAAACATCCCCCATATGTTACGCACAAAACTTAGCGCTTTATTCAAACTCCCACTACTCTTGGGCAAGTGCAATGGCTATAGTGTAAATCAGGCCAAATACATAGAACCAATGCAAAACAAGATACATACACTCTATCCCCAATCCCTATGCACAGTTAAATAACACAGGTTTTAGTACCATGTAATGGCCATTTGAGTGTTATTAAAAAACATCTGTTATTTAAATGTGCCTAGGGATGTGGGACAGAACGCAGGTAATATTTTTTGTTTTTATCCCCCATATCTTAGCTATGCCTTTGTAATCCCTTCCAAGTGTAATTGGCATGCTGGAATTCTGAATCCTTTCACTGGGATGCTGAATTTTTAAATCCTGTCATTAGAATGCTAAAATCCTAAATTCTGTGACTAGGGGTGTCAGATTCTTGTCATTGGGGTAAAGATAACAGACAGGAGGTGATCAGCGCTTAAAGGACCACTATAGGCACCCAGACCACTTCAGCTCAATTAAGTGGTCTGGGTGCAAGGTCCATCTAGGGTTAACCCTGCCTGCTGTAAGCACAGCAGTTTCAAATAAACTGCTATGTTTACATTAGGGTTAATCCAGCCTCTAGTGGCTGTCTCACTGACAGCCGCTAGAAGCGCTTCTGCGCTTATCACTATGATTTTCTATGGACAGACTGAATGCGCGCGTGGCTATATAAAATAGTAGGTTTATTTAATAAAAAAAGCTGGAAACAACAGCTATATAAGTAAAAACAAATAAACAAACTGTGGACAAGATAAGTCCTCACTAATGCGTTTCACCAAAGGCATTCGCAAAAATGGTCCACTTTTGAGAAAGCCTTTGGCGAAACGCGTTAAGTGAGGACTTATTTTATCCACAGTTTGTTTATTTGTTTTTACTTATATATTACATATATTGGGTACTGTGAAATCTTGGTGGGCTTAACCCAATATGGCCATATGGTAGACCTGAATCCCCATATTTGCTTGGGATGATTTTAAGTAGCTTTATAAAATGTAAACTGTATTATGTGTACATTTTGGTCACTACAGCAGCACAATTCCTGCAAAATGCATTTTCTGGATGTGCCCCCAATTCCTTTTTGTCTTTACTATGTAACGTTGGAATCCAGACCAGATCCCTTTTGGGTTCGTTATGTGACTTTAAATAGCCTTATAGAATTTAAAAATGTATTTTTGTGTGTGCGCTGTTCCTTAATCTGAGTTCTGAATCCAGTACTGTAATCCTGAAACATGCGATTGGGGGTGCCTGAATCCAGTCATCGGAGGACTGTAATCCTGAAACATGCGATTGGGGGTGCCTGAATCCAGTCATCGGAGGACTGTAATCCTGAAACATGCGATTGGGGGTGCCTGAATCCTGCCATTGTTTACTGGAGTTGTTTCAGAAAGTGCAAGAGGAAATAGAGAGGAATTGTATTTTTTTCTGCTGTATAACTTTGATTTATAATAGATAAATATTAACGCCATGTTTATTTATTCTTGTTTTGGATTGCTGGAGCTAAAATATGGACCTACTGTATGGTGCCCATCTCGCACTGTGACCCCTGAAAGAGGGAGCAGTAAGGTTGGTATTCCTTGGCCGCTTGTACCATGATGTCATGCTGATCTAATAATCACGTTACCCAGTGTGACCCAAAACAGGAGAAGATATTTTTTAATTTAGGGTCAGTGAATGGATATTTCCATAATAGGCACAGTATGTACATATATTGAATGGAAAGTCTCTCTTCTCTCCTGAATTACTTGATATGAACAAGAAAAAAAGGTTCAGCACATGTATTTACAAAACCCAACTCTCAAAGGATCACAATAAGTGTTTTACAGAAGAACTATCACCAGGGGTGTTGCTAGGGTCAAAATATACCCGGACTTGAGCCTGTTTCCCAAGGCCCAACCACTGATCCCTCCAAGGCAACACTCCTTAACACCTACAAGAAACCCATCTTCACGCACTCACAGATATATACATAAAGACACACTCACGCACACAGTTACACACAGACACACACATTCACACATTCACAGATGCGTACATAAAACCATACATGTACAACACACACAGGCACACATTATATGAGAAATCGGCACATTTATCATTAAATAATGATTGATTTCAGAAAGCTGTGCCATGTGAGAGTACATACAGAGGTAGAACTTTGAAGTATTTTCAATGATATACCTCTGCGATGAGGACTTGCAAAGGCTGCAGGAATTGCAGCTTTTGTAAACTCTTTTAAGATATAACCCTATCGGATACTTGCATGGGATTTATCCACTAAACAATGATTATTTATTATCACTGTGGAGTGTTCCTTTAACTGTAGGTTGAAATACCGTGCAAATGGGAAATACATCAGATGTTACATGCTTTGCTACATGCATTTGAAAATTTGCCCTAGATTAAAGAACTTTGATATTCTGGTACAAGGGCAGGCAACCTTCGGCACTCCAGATATTGTGGACTACTCCAATAATGCTCTTACAGCCATAATGTTGGCAAAGCATCAAGGGAACTGTAGTCCACAACATCTGGAGTGCCCAATGTGGTCTGCCCTTGCTCTGGTCATTCACCTCAATACCCAACCCCCGCCTCCCCCCCCACACACACGAACACAGCTAGCTACTCTCTTACATATACATACAGTCATGAAAAAAAAAAATACACCCTCTTTAAATTCTATGGTTTTACATATTAGGACATAATAACACACAAACACTGGCACGCACACATACACACACTGACAGAGAGACACACACACACACACACTGACAGAGACACACACACACTGACAGAGACACATACACACACACACACTGACACAGAGAGAGACACACAAACACTATCAGTGTGTGTGTGTCTCTCTCTGTCAGAAAGACAAACACACACTGAGAGAGAGAAAGAGAGACACACACACACACACACACACTGACAGAGAGAGATACACACTGACATAGAGAGATACACAAACACACACACTGACATACATGCACACACACATAAACTGACATTTTCCATTTAAATCCAGCCAGCCCCCCTACCTGGGAGAGCTAAGTGGACTTTCCCTGGGGTCTAGTAGGGCTGTTCGCTCATTCTGTGTGCGAGGGAGCAGTAATCTACCTGCGGCTCCTCTCTGCTCTCTGTAGTGATGCTGGGGCCAGAATGATGTCATATTCCGGCTCCTGGCATCACTATACAGTGCAAGCTAGCAGAGAGGAGCTACAGGAAGATTACTGCTCCCTCCCACGCTGCCCCAGCCTGCTGTCTGCTCGATCCCCATGGTGGCCATCTCCATGCAGCCCAAGATCCCCAGGGCGGCCACCTACACGCTCCTCAGAGCGGTTGCCTGCACGCTCACTGAGCCGAACGGTCGGCCCCATTGTTCACCCATCCTGCCTTCAGCTAAAGGGCTTCAAATTTTGCGCCAGGGCAAAATTTCAAGTCGCCATGGCAACCTGGCGCCTGGGATTTGTCGAGCACTGTGCTAAGCAAATGCCCTTGGTTAAGTGACCATCAGCAATTGTGACCACCTCTATAAAAGCTAAAGTTTTATCATTTTGCTGGTCTGGAGCAATCAGGTGTGTGTTAACACAACGCCATGGAGGAACTACATCAGCAATGGTTTTAGAGAAGCAATAATTGCTGCCCATCTAACTAGGAAGGGTTATAAGGCCATTTCCAAACAATTTAAAGTCCATCATTCTACAGTGAGAAAGCCTCTTCTCTCTAAAAGGCAAACATAGCATATCATCACAAACATCTCATACCAACTGTCAAGCACGGTGGTGGAGGGGTGATTATTTGGGTTTGTTTTGCAGCCACAGGACCTGGGAACATTGCAGACATTGAGTCAACCATGAACTCCTCTGTATACCAAAGTATTCTAGAGTCAAATGTGAGGCAATCTAACAGTTAATGCTTGTCCAAAATTGGGTCATGCAACAGCACAATGATCCCAAGCACACAAGCAAATCTACACGGCTGAAAAACAGTTGAAAAAGAAAAGAATCAAGGTGTTTCAATGGCCCAGTCAAAGTCCAGACATCAACCTGATTGAAATGCTG